GTAGTTTAATGAGGGAGCTATTACTCATGCGCTGTCACTGCACATCTAGAAAATTCCTCTGGGTTTAAAAACTGGCAGGAAAAAGTAGTTTCCTAAAAAACACTGAATTAATGAGATAAAGCCCATTGCTCAGGAGTCCCAAACAGGAAGGGTCAGAGGCGGAGCTGTGCAGGGCTCACGGTGTGTTGGAAATCTCCACAGGGGATTTCAGAGAGCAGATAGTGCTGGCAGGGATTCAGAGAAGTGATGCAGCAGATAGGCTCAGCATCTCTCTTTTAGGATGCAGTAGCCTGGATTTGGGGAGAAAAAAATGCAAGTTCAATTGGGGCATTGTCACCAATCCTCCCCCTCCATTCCTTTACATCTGAAAATATCTGGGACTGGGGTGTTTAAAGAAGGGGCTTTGTAGCCATGGGCAATGATACAAGGCAGTTTATTAGTAATATTGACATGTGAAATGAGGGAGATATATTTAAGAGAAGAAAAAGAAGTATTTGTTGTGTGGGCTTAATTATACAGCTTTAAATGAATTTTCACAGTTTTATAATCTGTATTCCTATGGTCTGACTTCTTGCTTTGAGTCTGTACTATTTTACAGATCTGTACAGTATTTTACAGATCTGTAGAGTGCAGTTTGCATGTTGACTTCAGTTATTTTTAGGTGGTTTCGCCTATCCTGTCACATTCATACCGGATACACATTATCCTCACCTTAACTGGAAACCTGATATAACTTTCATGGCCCTGAAGGCAGGGTGAAGGCTGTTTAAGATTGATGGTGGAGAGAGCACAGTAAGCAGAGGGCTGCTCCAGTCTGGAAATGCAAGTGAATATTCCTTACCAACCCCCTGACACAATTACTCACTCGTAGCATAAGTTACTGTAATTTCTTTTGCCAAAAAAACTCTGATAAAGCAGAGGCTGTTAGGAGGGAAATCCGTAAGGAGTCTGGAAAGTGTGATGTAAGGATTAGTAATAGAATTAGCAAGCTGCTGTAACAGTTCTGCTACAGTTTCTCCTAAATTACAGTACCTCAAGCATAATCATAGTCATTCCTTGTCTTACTGCAGTGCTGTGGTGTAGTCCCAGTCAGTTTTGTCTTCTCCCTGTGTTGCTATCCTTGTAAGCCCTTTAAAAACTCTTTTAATTACTCATTTTATTCAAGAATATTACCAGTTTTCCATGGAAATACAGAAGTAGCCCTGGAAAGGTTGTGTATTTTAAGCTTCAGATCAAAATGATGCTCAGCTCTGTCCCCCTGTACATGCAACATACACCCTCTTTATCCAGTACTGAGCTGGTTTTTAAATTTTTCTGAAGCACAGAGGTGCCCAGTTTATGTCTCTGTGCTGGATTTTTGCCCTTGGGTGTGGAGCCCAACTGCTTGAGCCAGAATTAGGAAATACTTCCTACATGTGCTGTGAAAAAATGTTGGATGACAGGGCAGAGCTCAGTTTCCACCAGAATGGAACAGAATGAGACTGAAAAGGCTGGGGGGACGCTTGTGGTATTATGAAGATGGCAGGGGTGTGGATGTCATGGAATTTTGGAATCAAAATAGTCTGCAGAGAGGGAGACACTCCAGAGGGAACTTGCTTGGGACGCATTAGACTGAGGTTTGGGCATCAGTCGCTCTGAGGGTGTGTGTGTGTGTGACAGGGAGCACAGGGAGGCTCAGGAGCTGCGCAGCTGATGCAGGGAAATGTTCAGCCTCACATCTTGGATCTGTGCTGCTCCAGTTTTCCAGGGCAAGTGTGAAGCTGAAGGCTGAGAAGGCATAGAAAGGGGCTCTCCTGCTTTCCATGTGGGTGCTTCTGTGTCCAGTGAAGATAGTGAGCACTAGTGCTCCTGTGCAGCCTTGTTCTCTGGTTTTGGCATGGCTTCTGGTGGATTTTAGGTTCTTTGAGGGGACTTGGTGGTGTTCAGACTGCTTTTTGCCTAAATAGATTGCAGCAGAGTCTCAGTGAGAGGCAGGTTCCCTCGCTCCAGGTGGGACGCCTTCAACTGTGCAGGAAATACCAGGCTCTGATATGACAGGTGCTGATGCCCCAGCAGCTACTGAGTAGAGAGTTTTATCAGTCTGGACTTCAGGCACCTAAATGCCACCAAAATTTGGGCAGAACCAAGACAGGCCACATGGATGATGCCTGCAGCCTCCCAGTCTCATGGCAAAGAGATGCTCCTCAGGCAGCCATCTGAGGACAGCCGTGTCTCACTGCCTTCTTCAGCAGCAGGACTGGCCTTCCCAAAGCTCCTGTCCTGTGTGTGCTACACCAACAGGGGCTTGTTATTGATGGAAACCTACCTTAGTTTCTCTGGTAATGAGGGTTTAATTGTAGTCCATTCACATTATGATGGTTCAGCTGATTTCCTGCCTTGGCTGAGGGAGCGTCTCTGCTGTTTTCTCTCTGTGCTGAAAGGAAGCGGCTGAAGGAGTTGGTGTGTCTGACAGGCAGACCCAACCCAACGTGGTGCTGCTCCCACCTTTGCACTGGTGCCTATGCTGCCTGACACCACCATCCCACACCTGTTTGAGCTCCTCTCCCAGCTCCTGCTTTACAGCTGGATTTTGGAATGCCAGGTGTATGTACGCACCGCGTTCAAGCGATTGTCAGGTTTTGTGTTTGAAGACTTTTCTCTTCTGTCTTTTCTTAGACTTTGCTCTGTCAAGGCCTGTGCAGCTGGCGTTACATAGCACATACTTTATTATCCCAGTCATCACTTCGACTGTTTAATCCTTTTAACCTTCACAGTGGCTACAGTAGGAATTACGGGGATAATCTTGAGTGAATTTCCTTGGCCACTATTAAAACCACAAAGAAATCTAAAGTAGTTCTGTGAAAAAAGAATTTCTTGATGAAACTATTTGTGAGGGACTGAAAGGGGGGGAGTGCAAGTTGAGAACCCAGTCCAGCTGCAGGGAAATGGCTGTGGGGATACCACCACGGGCTGGCAGCTGCCACATTCCTGTACCCATCATCCCAAACCTGTTGTAAGCACAAAACAGTTAATGCAGAACAGTCATCCCTGCTGGGCATGGAAGGGACCTTGCTGCCAGATGGTATTTATGTTGTGCATTATCTCCGTAGGTTTTGCATCTGTCCTTGCTGCAGTTTTGTTTTCTGCCTTCAAATTCCCTTTTTTCTTATTGTGTCTAATAAATTAAATTGAATTTGCAAAATAGTACAAAGTGACATTAGGATGTGCCTGTTAACAGAGGAGAATTAATTAATTACATGCCATGAACTAACTGAACTCATTTAGTCATTGATGAATTAACTTAGTATGTCTGTTACAAACAGGAGAACTGGAATGCTGGCAGGATAAAGGGTGAAATCTCTCACTGACTAAATAACTGGTGTTTCTTTAGGTTTAGTTAGCGTTCCTTAGTCTAGTAATGGCCAGATTTTTAGAAGTAGGAAGTTCTACCAGTCATTTTCAGTTTTGTGTTCCCTTCTGTGATTCCATCCTACACTGACATCTGCCCCTTGAATTCATTTGAAACCTTGAAGTTTCTAGTTGCTTTTTCTTAACCAAATCTTATAACTAGTTCTTCATCATTCCCTTTTTTTCACTGGTCAGACTTTGAGTATCATCAATCCTATTTCCAGCTGGAGATTCCATTCTGCATGGATGTCTGTAATTCTGGGGGCAGGGGTTGTGGTCTTTCTTAATCATATTTCTGATGTGCACAGTGACATTCTCTCCGTGCACGTTCTGCATCTTACCTCTTCCCAGATTTCTTTGCAAACATGGATTTGATTTCTCTCTCTCTGCACTCAAGTTTCAGACCTGCACCTCTGTGCCTCATTTTGTTTTCCTTGCAAGGTGTTTGTGTGGCCTGCACACATGTGGGTTGATAGCACAGTATAGTGTTGACAGAAAGGAGCTTTCTCCCATGCCAGCCCTCTGTAAATGCCACAAAAATACCTTTTTATTTAAACCTCTGGTTTAAAACTATATCCTTCTATACAGCCCAGAGTAGAATGACCAGTGGGCTGTTAATCTGCCCTTATATCAGGTTTTATTGTCTCATTATTCCTTATACTTTCTATTCTTTTATGTGTGTTCTCACTTTTTTGCCTCAGGCAGTAAACTAGAAACCAAACTCATTTTATTCTGTTTTATGTGAAGCTTCTAGATTGGTGTGTTTTGATCCATGACAGGGTCTCTGCCCTGCTACAGTAGTTGCCTTTCTTGGAAATCATTGGGAAGGTAAATACCTGCAGTAGCTTTAAAATCTGCACAAGCTGAGTTTCTCAGCTCTCAAGGCAAATCAGAACTTCAGCTGTGCTTCGATGCTCCAATTATGAGATGCTAACCTTGTTTGCAGCTTCAACAGGTGGAGCCAGTTGCAGGGAGAAGACTAATAAGACGACAAATATTGGATATGTGCACATTATGTTTTCCTGATGGATAGGGACACGCTTTCCTGGTGCAGCTAAAGATGTTTAATAGCCGTTGTCGATCAGAGCAATAACTATTCCATAAATCAGAATTACTTTCAGAATCCAACAGCCCCTTTTCCCATCTCTTGCTTGGCTGTGTTCAATATGTGGAGCCTTAAGTTGTCCTCTGATTAGCTCTGTGATTTCCATGGCGTGTGCCAGCATCAGTGTTTATTATTGAAGCACATTGTCTGCTTTTCTCTTGATGATGTGACTGTCCTGTAACAGAAGTCACATGCACAAACTGAGTAGTAACAGGAGTTCAGGAGGAAGGATCAGTAAATATTCTAAGCTCTGCGTGGTTGTGCAGATGTAATTGATTCCAGCCCTGCCAGATGCTCACCAGTTGATCCAGATGATCCTTGCTCAGCATGCGGTGAAGATCCCTGTCATCTCCTGGCTCTTCCAGTCTCTAGCACAGCTTACAGGCCATTGCTCAGTCCCTAAAATCTTTATCTTTACCGTAACCACGTGACTTTTTTGTATTTTTAGGGGAAGCTAAACTGGAAATGCGCACACGCGCATTTACATAAACCATTTTATAAATTCCAGGTGCTGATCTCACAAAGGTGTCCTGCATGTGCCAAAGGACGAACGTGTTGTTTGAGGGAAAAGCTGTCCATAAATCTGTGCAAACTGAAAGGTAAATAATTTCTTTTTCCAGTACATTGGTGGAGTAAGATCTCTGCGTCGGTTATTTTCCCTGCTGTGAAATATGTGGTGTAAATGTATCTGGCGTATATTATATTTGTCACCGCGCAGCAGCAGAATGTAGGAAGTGGTTATCTTTAAAAAAATTTGATTTATGCTTCATAGAATCACAGACTGGTTTGGGTTGGAAGGGACCTTAAAGATCATCTCGTTCCAACCCCCTGCCCTGGGCAGGGACACCTTCCACTAGACCAGTTTGCTCAGGTCCCCGTCCATTCCTTGTTGTGCTTCTTTTGCATAACAAGGAAAGGTTCAGAGGTGGTTTGTTTCACTCTGAAAATATTTCTGGCTTGGATTTCAGGATTTTTTTGCAGTGTCATACATGATGGGAGGAGTAAAGAATATTTGTCTTTGAATAAAAGATCCGCTGCAGTGTGCTTGTGAGGCGTAAGAATTCAGCTGAGGTTAAAACTTGAAGTGGTCTGATTGAGTTTCCTATCTTTCTTAATTGTTATCTTTTTTTCTGTGTGATAATTTTAATTTCACTTCCTCTTCGGTAATTGTGGAGTCTTCCAAAGTAATCTTGAGTTTGTATTATATCAGACAAAAATTACAGACTAATAAATGTTTTCGTGGTGTTTAGTGTTATTTTTAAAAGATATGTAAGAGAAGTTCTTTCCAGGTCCTTTGACAGACAAACTACCATGATGATTCCTGGGGCAGCATAAATTAATCCAGTGCTGGAGATAAGCATAGAGGCAACAACATTAAAGGGTGCCTGGTTTTAAGAGCTCACTTTGTAGGGACAGAAGTGGCTGTGATACAACACATGGCACTAGGATACAAACAGTAGGTGTAGCTTTGGAGTGCTCCATGATGGACATTTCTACTCAGGGATGGGATTAGCACTTCTATTGAAACTTATATAACAGCTACAGTGCCAGGGTGGTTGCTAAAAATGATGCTCATTGCTGTTAGATCCCAAAAGCTTTCAGTCAGAAGAACTATTTTCAGCTGAAGAAATATTATTTTTTTATTCCTAATGGTCATTGTTTTTCTCCCGGATCCCAATGAGATACTTTTAAATATGTAAGGCAGCAGTAGAAATGAAAAAAAAGTGTTTATGTAATGTAAAGACATGGACAAGCAACAGTGAGTTTTGTTGTGGGTGGCTACTTCATTATCATATCTTCATTAACATACCCTGGCAGTCAGCAGGGAATTACATTGTTCCTTATGTCTGTCCTGTCCAGTGGCTAAAATATAACATCAGCTGCTTTTATCCAGCAAATCTTGATCCCTTTGGGAAAAAACCCACTGTTTTCCTGCCTCTGTTGCCCCAGAGGTTGGTGTTGGACTGAAGAGCTGCTATGGTGATGGGCACAGGGATGGGAATGTGGACAGAAATAGAGCGAGGCTGAAGCCAGGCTGTTCCTGCTTCCTTATGGTTTCAGTAGCCCTCTCTGATATGGATGGTGACTGATTCCAAGGAGGTATTTATTATTACATATTTGAGGCAGGGTATTTCTGCCTCAGGTTCTCATAATTAACACAAAATAATACTCAGGCAAAAAGGAGGGTGGGGTTCTCAGATTGATAATGTTTTTTACAGGATGCACATCATAATTCCCTGCAGAGCAGTTTGTGCCCGTTGTGCTGGGATTTGGATGCACAGAAATCTCCCTCCTCCCATCCAAACTGAAGTCAGTTTTTGGTGATGCATAATTCATATCCTGAAGCCTGTGTCACAAAAACATCTTAGTGCTTTTTTTCCCCCAGCTTGATAAGCCCGCTTTTGTATTTTTAGGATTTCCTTTGCTGCTAATCCCCAAAATCAGCCTGAAGAGGTTTCAAAACAGAGTTCAGAGTAAATCTGAGGCAACTTCTACGTCAAGGATATTGCTGTATGCAGCAGGTGATTCTCTGGCACCTGCTGTATATGGATTCTGCCTCCACAGAGGTTTATTTCCTTGTGGCATGAGGGCTCAAAATGCCATGGAGTCAGTGCACAAGGTGGACTGCACCTCACAGGAGTCTGCCAGGAGGTTTGGATACATCTTTGGATATATATTAAAAGGAGTAACAGGTACTTTGTTATGAAACAGAGACAGCAGTTTCTTTTGATGAATTTTGAAGCTCTAATCAGAAATTACTCCTTCCAAGGGGAACATGATACCTGTATTTACTGCTGTTGCTTAGTGGTACACTGTGATTGCCTGTTCTGACCATAAATGCACTCACATAAATTTGGACTGTGAGGAGCCATAACATGGCAAAAAAGCCTGTGTAAGAGCCTGGAGGAAGAGAAGGATGATTCTGAAGTTGTATTTTAATTTATCTCTCTGCAGAACAACACAGAGGGGACTAACTCAAACAGCTTCTTGTGGTTTGTTTTTTTTTCTTCCAGATTCTGAAGACAAACCTGTCAGTAGTGAATTGTCCCAGAAGCACATGGAGAAATTTGTACATGGTGGAGGCTGTTTTTTCTGAGGTACAGAACATCTGTGTCCTTCCTTGGTATCAGCTGTTGTAAATACCTTGTAGCCATTAAGCCTTTATTGCTCAAAGCTTTGAGAAGCTTTGAAATTAAAAAGATAAAGGTATTGTGTGTGCATAATGGATAAATTGAATGTTTCACTAGTGGGAAATAACTGTCTTTATTTGAGAGCTGTGTCCCTGTTCCAGAGGGATGTTCCCCAGATCTCTTACTTCGTAGTTCTTCTCAGTGCAGCTAAACAAAGCACAGGAAGGAATGGGAAGTACTCTCATCAGTGTAGGAAATCTTTTCAGTAATGGTTTTTCATGTCAATAATTTCCTCACAAATGCTTTTTGTTCTTACCTGGTTATATCAAGCCACTGCAGACCTTCTGATCATAATAAATTCCATTCGTGGAGGCTTTGATTGTTTCTTGCACACTGCCCATTTAACGTAAGAAAACAAAATTGTTCAGTAAGAAAAATTCAGATGGAAAAATTCAGGCCTGTGGGGGAAGTTGGACCTTGTGCAAAAACCCAGTAAAACTTGAGTAAGAACCTCAGAGTTCAGTGTATTGATTTTCTTGTGAAAGTTCAAGAGCTGTGTTTCGTTGCAGGCTGAAACTCATCTCAACTCCTCATGACCAGCTGAGCAAGAGAGATGGGATTTGATGCTATCCAAGGTGTAATTCCACAGTTCATGTCTTTTGCTACTGCCAGCTTTAATAAGTTTCTGCCCACTCCCAGCCATTCATTTCCAGCCCAGCAGCAATGCAGTGCCATCTCTTCCCTGACCGTGCGGAAAACCAGATGGCTGAAAATAACTCAGTCAAGAAAAGAAACCCTATATTTTATTTTTTTTCCTTTGAATTAGAATCATTTGAATGATGCCCACGGGCAGTCGTATTGGTACAACTTGAAGGTGACATGAACTGCAGCATCAGAGGCAGCAGTGAGCACTGGAGGGTGTCCCAATGCTAAGTGATCTTGCTGTCAACAAAAATCTGCTCTGGGACCATATCCTGGATGAAGGGGTGTTTCACTAGCCACAGGATTATTTATTGAACTGCTGCTTTTCATTTATTTTATTAAGGAAGATTAACATCTTCTTGTTTGGGCAGGTTTATTTTTTTTTACTTGAGGAGATAAACCATCTCTGTGAGAAGTCAGTCAGCTTTGTGGACAGCCATGAATGTCAATAAAGTCTTGGCAAACACAGTAGGCATTTATTCAGCCTTGCAAATTAAAAACATTTTTCCTGCTTGTTTAGTGAAGGGAACAAAAAAAGACAAATTACATAGCGGATGAGCTCTCTTGATAGTTGGAATTCATTAAGCTGGTGGTGAAAACGCTGGGGGATTGATGGTGCAGAAAAAGAAAAGATGAAGCAGCTTTTCCCCAATAGCTGTGGTTTAAGTTCAAGTTGAAAATGACCAAAAAAAAAAAAACAACCCTTAAAGACATCTGTAACTGACTTCACAGTCTCAATTTCTATCTGGGTAGACAGTTCTTTTCTCACTGCAGTTAATATTAATTGGTTTTTCAGCTGACAGATAATTTCTCAGTGGTTCCTTCATCTCCATCATGCCATGGGGTGTCTGCAGCAGCTCATAAATGAGATCCATGGTGAGGCATTAAGTAGGAAGTTCTCACAGTCCCTTCCCCTTCTACAGACAGAACCTTTCTTCAGACTTGTCACTCTGTCATCTTCCCCTGGCTTCACGTTTTATTAAAAAAAAAAAAATAAAAATGGGGGGAATTTAAAAAGTTACAGTAAGTTGAGCAGTTTGTCAGATGTAATGTTCTCACAGGCCATTGTCTGCAAATTACAGGCTGGCTCAGTCTTTCAGATGGATCGTAAAGCTGTCCTAAGTCAAGCTCTCACAAAATCCATTTACACAGCTCCTGTTGTGGCAGGGCACGGAAAGGAAGCTGTAGGACTTATTTTTTAATGAATTTCCTGTGCAGGGATCATTAGTCCACATGGAAGTCTTTCCAAGTCGCACCCAGTGCATGTCCTCTCTGATTATCCCTGATTAATCTGATAAAGTGCCCACAGTTGTCATTTGCAGTCACAGATGGGATCACAGTTCTCAAATTATTCCAAGTGCAGAAATTCTGCAGGAATTCATCAGTGGAAGAGAGAGGGTTCCCTGATAGGTGTTTGAATGCAGCTAAACCACCTGTAAATCAGTACAGTTACTTAGCAGCAAAACAAAACCATTGTAAACTTTGTTCTTGCAGTGCTTTAATTGCAGACAAAGCTTTACTCATGCAAGTCATCCCATCAATGTCAAATAAAAACATGAATTATTAAGTATTTAAGATTAGGGCTTAAGTCACTGGCATGTCATTCTCATAATTTTCTCTGGAGGATTACAGAACACTTAATTTGTAATTACAGAAACAGAAATGTAATCAAATGCTCTTCCAGCTACAGGTTTTACCAATTTACAGTGAATTCTGGGTTTGCTCTTCCTATTTCCCAAGCTCTTGCTTTTAAATGTAAAAAAGTTAACTCCTCTGTTCCTCCTCTTCTTCCCAGCTCAATGAGAAAGTTGCCCTCAGCTCTTCTGATCATTAAATCTAAGAAGGATGGAGCAGTTCAAGATCTGAAAATGTTCTAAAACTTCCAGGACCTAATTAGAAGGAGGCATCTTGGAGCAGCACAATAGCTCTCTCTGTGCAGTTCATTTGTTTTTCCAATTTAGAAATGACAGTTTACAGCCCTAACGCGAGCGTGTTTCTCATTAGCCGTGTTCTAGAAAGACACAGAGTTATTACAAGTTCTGAAAGATGCTTTCTTCAGAAGTGCAAATGATATTAAATGGCAGAACTTGCTCTCTGGATAGTCAGATGGAGATGCTGTGGTCTGCACCCATCCTAGGTCGTGCGGTAAAGGCAGAGCCATGCAGCCAGACCTCTGCTTCAAATCCATGGGTGTCATGAATGCAATGCATAGAAGAGATGCTACAGCACGATTTAGCCTTGTCCTGGGAAGATAATGGCTGGGAAGTGTCATTGCTTTCCTTGTTTCACAGATGGATCTCAGGTTTCTTGGACTTTCTCATGAAGATTTTCTTGGAGAGGACTGTGTTAGCTGTGCTGCTGACAGATGCCCTTGTGAGAACTGTCCCCACTAACTTGATTTCTCTCCTTCAGCCATCTAGAAGTTTGGTTCCTAGTCTAAGCTGGTTGGTTTTGTTGTCCTTGTGGTAAAGGAAGAGAGAGCTGCATCTTGGGAGATGATAAAGCTTTAGGAAATTATGTGATTGGTCTTTTACATGGTTTTCTGCACCCTGAAGGGAAAGAGTTTGAAAATACTTTTTTGCCTGTAATCAGGACTCCACAGATGGGTTCATCTTGGGTGATGGTGTAGGGTCTGGAACTGAAGTTCTATGAGGAGCAGCTGAGGGAGCTGGGGGGGCTCAGCCTGGAGAAGAGGAGGCTCAGGGGGGACCTTCTCGCTCTCTACAATTCCCTGACAGGAGGGGGGAAGGTGGTGGGGTTGGTCTCCTCTCTCAAGGAACCAGGGACAGGACAAGGGGAAATGGCCTCAAGTTGCAGCAGGGGAGGCTCAGGTTGGATATTGGGAAAAATTTCTTCACTGAAAGAATCGTTAAGCGCTGGAACAGGTTGCCCAGAGCAGTGGTGGAATCACCATCCCTGGAAGTTCTCAAAAAACGAGTGGACCTGGCACTTCATGACATGGGTTAGTGGGCATAGGTGGCATTAAGTCAGAGGTTGGACTTGATCATCTTAAAGGTCTTTTCCAACCTAAATTACTCTGTGGTTCTAATCTATTAAAATCAGCTTTCACAGGGCTTCCAGGAGCTGGTACAGAGCACAAAAGGGTAATGAACTGCAGGGGGGAAGAATTAAGATGCTTCACTCTTCTTGAAAATACTGCAGTAAGGCAAAATCTGGGGCTTTTGCATTGCTGGAGGAATCAGTTTGGTTCTGCCCCCACTTCAAAGCAGCTTTATTGTATTGCTAGAGCACCAGTGTTTTTGTGTGCCTGCGTGGAAGATTCCCAGGCAGCTGTATGTGCTCGGGGCAGAGCCTGGGGACACACGGGCGGGAGCACAGCTCGGTCCTGCTGCTTCCTGCCTGCTCTGCTCCACACAGGCACTTTCTGGACAGAAAAGCTGCACAGTAAATCCAGTGCTGATGTGGCCTGGCACAGTGACAGCTCTTCCAGTAACTGCCCGCTCTCGGAGGCCCATCCTCCTCCGTTGGGTTGTTTTCCTTAAAACAGTGCTGTTCTACACCCGGATGGGGCACACGGCCTCTCTGTGCCTCCCTCTGCCACCAGAAACTCCGTGGTGCCTTCTCTGCTGCTGCTTGGGGGGGTAGTTAGTTCCTGGCTGAGAGGCTGTGATGTTACCTATCGAGTGCTTCCCAGAATGTGTCGCCCCAGAGCGGGGCTGTGCAGACAGTCAGACTTGCTCGACATGGCCCTGCAGATGTGGTCCTTCGGATCTCAGGTTTGTTCTGCCAGCTGAGATGAGGAGCTGCAGACAGGTTATTAAAAAAAACAAAAAAACAAATCTGCTTGAAAGGGAGTAAATTGTCTAGAACACACTTCAGTAGCAGATTTCCAGGAAAAAGCCCTGTGTCAGATTTCTAAGAAGTAGTGCTGGTTCCAGGTGGTGAGTGCCAGGTCTGAACAATCCGTAATCAATGCAGTCCTTAGCGTTAGGTTTGGGCACACACTTTCTCCCTAATTTGCAAATCCCACCTCAGCCAGGGCTAGCAGGCAGGTGGGCAAGTTTTCAGGCTCTCTGCATGGCCTTTGAATATTAAACATTTAGGCCTTAACGTGTAGCTTCTGTGCCACGCTGGTACTTTGGCTGCTGCTGTTAAAATGAAGACATGGTAACATCCTGCAGGAGAACTGTCACACGTGTTTTGCCATCATGAGAGGGAGTTTGCAGCAGCACTACCCTTGCTGGTGTGTCTGGAGGTAGCTGTTCTGTGGGCAGAGCTCAGCAGACAGAATGTGTTAATAGAAGACAGCAACACAAGTAGGATGAAGGCCCTTCATTCCTTGTTAAAGCCTTGTACATGTTGTTCAAGCTTGGCTAACAAAATTCTTCAGAGTGACACTGCTGCAAGCAATTCTCTTGCTGTTGGTAGCAATATAATAGAAAACAGAAGTGAACATTTGGTGACTCAAACCAAAATCAAGGGTAAGAATAAGAAAAAAGCATCAACTGTTTAATAGGAAAAATAAAAACCCGACATGGCTAGGTATTCTTCTGTGGCATTTCCAATTTATTGTTACAGGAATATCCTCCCAGCTAGACACAAGCTCCCTCAGGAAGCTGGTTTCATATGGTGGTTTAGATTTAACTATTCATTGTCTAGCACCATTTGAAATCAGTGTTCTTGGAGGAAGAATGCCTGCCTTCATCAGGGAATCGGATCCTCAGAAGCCTCAGAGGAAAAGAAGAGAAGGTCAGCATCTTCCTTGTGTGGTTCTGCTGTTGTAATTAGCTCCACCACCAAATGAGGTCCCTTGGGACCGTGGGGGGTCTGTGGCCCAAGTGACTCTTGGGAGAGCTGTGCAGTGTGTGATTTCAAAGGCAGGAATTCTGCTGTCAGCATGTTTATAATCCTTGTGAGTGGTGAACGGCAGCTTCGGAACCAGAGGAGGGCTCATGAGACAGAGACAACACAGAAAAGTGTGACACAGAATTCCAGCTCAATATTGAAGATGTTGATTTTAATGCACCAGCTGGTGAAAACTCTAGCACAGCTAGTTCATACAACATGGTGAGGAATTAGGAAGGGAACTGTATGTACTCCACTTTTTTTTTCAACTCAAAACATGTTTTAGCCTTACATGGGTACACCTTGGTTGGTTCATTATCAACCTTGTAAATACCTTGTATGTGTATCATACAAGACACACAATGGAATTTAGAGCAGGTGATTCTGCACTGAAGTGCTGGGAATTGTGGATGCTGTTTGCATCCCAGCTGCGTGTCTTGCTTTTTCTTGTGGCGTGTTTGTCAGGTGAGAATATGTTATTTATTTTGTGTGACTTCACAGTGTTCAGGTCACAGTTTGATGGCTGAATGTGCTCCTTGTAGCTGATGGAAATGGCCAGCACCAGCGACTGTGAGAATTGGAACACGCTGTGGTTGGTCACGTTGTCCAAGTTTACTGAAATTTGGACAGTTTTTAAGTGCTTCAAGATGATATTTTTATAAGTATTTCACTGTATTAAAAGATGCATGTAGCTAATGGTTGATTTTGAAAGTTTTCACTGTACCTTTGTTTTCTCATCAACATTTTAATAACGCTTTTAATGTTTTGTTAGCGAATAATGCCACAGAGGTAATTAATTAACATTTTTCAAGAGTTTGGGGATTCTCCAGTGTCAAATACTATCCAGCACTTCACTCTTCGTCCTTGCAGATCTCCGTAACCCCTTTAGAGGATGACTGATTTCTTTTGGTGTTCAGAGTCAATAATATTTTCTAGCACCATTTGAAATCGGTTATAGTGATTGGGGAATTGCTCCTCGTGACTTTTTGTGCAAGAGGCTCCACAGAGAATCTTCAGTGGTGTAATCTAGGGCTGAAAACAGGGAAGTGTGTTATTTTAGTGAATGGAGTTGCTGAATGCAGAAGTACTAGGAGTTTAAATTCTTGCAAGGTGGTTTTATATAGCTGGAGAATTTTCCTCAGGGATAATGCAACCTCTAATGGATGGAATATGTAAAATTTGTTAACACAAGGTCTTGGTTTAGGTCCTTTGCGTAAAGATGGTGCTTGAAAATGGTTTGGAAAGCCATAAGGTGCTGAGAGGGAAGACAAAGGGAGATGGTTTTCCCAGTGAGAAAAAACAGTGTGGACTTGAGATAAAAGAGGAAAAGCCCCACCCTGTTGGTTTAATGATCCTGTCTGTGAAGTATGAGGAAATCTAAGGAGCAGCAGGAAGCTTTCCAATCTCCAGTTCCCATACTCTGGACATGCTGAAAGCAAGATCTCATGGAAGATCTCAGTGCCAGCCTGGGAGTTCTTGCGTTCACCTCTTGTACACTCTGAGCAGTGCAAGCAATAAAAGACCTGAGTCATCTTTCCAGGGGAGTTTAAGAAGTTTTACCTGAAAATTCAGCTCTTCAGTGAAACAGAACTGGCCGGAGGCAGAGTTGAAGGTGGGTCGTGTCCTCAGTTCCAGCAGGATCTCATTATCCATGAAGATAATGTCTGAGAATCTTATTTCAAACAGCTTCTCATACTGCATCCAGCTTTTTGGAAGTTAGTAATACAGACCAGCCTACAGCAACTCATCCCTGTAGCAGGGGATATTTTCCTGGATGTCCTGGTGAATTCAGCAGTGGACTGCTTTTCCTGTTATTCCATATTCCATTATTCCAACTGGGGCATCTTGAATATTCAGAGGCATTTTTAAGGTTGTGGCTGATTGTTGGCAGCAAATTTACCTTTCTCTTGTACCCTCCATCTTTTCTTTGGTATATGAAAATATTTTGAAAGCAGGAGGGGGGGACTTTGGGTAAGGGCATGGAGGGAGAGGTCAAAGGAAAATGGCTTCAAACTGACAGAGGAAAGGGTTAGATGGGATATTAGGAGGAAGTTCTTCCCTGTGAGGGTGGTGAGGCCCTGGCACAGGTTGCCCAGAAGAAGCTGTGGCTGCCCCATCCCTGGAAGTGTTCAAGGCCAGGCTGGACAGGGTTTGGAGCAACCTGGTCTGGTGGAAGGTGTCCCTGCCCATGGCAGGGGGTTGGAATGAAATGATCTTTGAGGTGATTTCCAACCCAGACTATTCTATGATTGTGGGATATGCTGCCATTGCTTTATTTCTAACTAAGATTATCACAAACTAAAAGAGACCTTAATGTAAAGAGTATGGGACGTTTTCTTAGTCTATCACTTCCATCCATTTATGAAATCCACCCTCATGGTCTGTCTTGTTTAAACTCTGAGAAGTGGGTAGTACTGTGTTCAGTACAAAAGACTGTAGGTTAGCCCTTCAGTTAATACAAAAATCACTAAAATATGGAAAAAGTAGACTGGCTGGCTGCATGGGGGTTTTGCAGTGTGATGCAGAGGGGTGACACCTGCCCACATGGATATTTTAGGAGTTTCGACAGATGTTCTCGTGGAGGTTAAAAGCTGTACAGAATGAAGTGTTGCATTCTGGAAACGTGACTTAAAAGTAATCATCATGTTTTAAGTACATCCCTTGCCTAAGTAGCTCCCATACAGACTGTTGCTTAAATGATTTCTCTAGTGAAGTCCTTGACGGAGCAGATGGATCTGTTTGGAGTTTTGCTGCTTGTACTGTGTGTGTAGGATCGAAACGTCTGGACTCAGGGAAACCTGTTAGCACAAAAACTAATCTTAAGGTAAGAATCAGTTACAAAGTGATCATACAAAACCAGGTGAAGATTAACGACGTTCT